ACTGCTGTTGGCCCTGCGCTTGCTGAAGCATTTCTTCCTCCTCAACTTCTGTGACTTCAGTGCATATGATAACTCCAGCTGTGGCTGGATCTATTTGGTGAAAGTTACAATGAGCCTTTCAGAGCCTATGAGAGTATCAGAAACAGCTCCTAAGTAATGTGAGCAGTCAGCTGTTGCACACAATCAAGTAACAGTTTGTATAGTCTTTGATACAGTGGAGTGAGGAGTCCTCTGTTGAAGAGGGTCCTAGAATGCTTGTAGATAGACCTATGACATAGTTGATCATTTTTGAATGTATGCAGCACAAGTCATGTCACATATATACAGTAGAGCAATATATTTCCACCAGGATTAGTGAAACCAAAAACCCAACATCATCCAAGAAAGGCAGCATTGCATGTAAGATCATATTTTATTTGGCCTCGGTGGTCACGCATACATTTCACATCCAGAATTCTGTGATTACAGATGTCTTTAACCTAGTGTCATAGACTTTTTTATAGCATAGAAAGAAGCCCTTCCACCCATCAAATCCACAACAGTCATCTGACAGCTTCAACATTGCTTGGGTCCAGTGTAGATAGCAGCAAGGCAGCGGAGGAAGGATGGCAGCGCAGGCATCGTTGGTGATGAGCCGGCTCAGGATTGATGGACTCTCTTTAAGTTATATCTTTCTATTTTTTTTTTCTTATTCTCAAAACTATTCGAAATGACGCTCGATCGTGGTCACAGTGGAAGAGCTTTTCACTGTATTTTACTGTATTTTTCACTGTAAATACACGGGACAATAAAATCATTCATCAAACATCCATCTATTCTAATTGCAGTATCCAGCACTTGGCCCATAGCCTGTATTCCATGGCATTTTAAGTGTTCATCTAAATAATTGTTAAATGTCTGAGGGTTCCCACCTCTCCCATTCTTTTAAGCAGTGAGTTCCAGAGAACCAAAATGTTCTTGGTGAAAATACTTTTCCTCAAATCCCATCTAAACCTCCTGCTCCTGGCCGTAAAACTCTGTCCCCTTATTTTGACCCCTGTGGTATTGGGATATGTTTCTCCCTGTCTACACCCATCAGAACTTTGTACACCTTAATTAGATACCTCTTCGTCTTCTCTGCCCTAAGAAAAGCAACTCCATCTAGCCTCACTTCATAGCTGAATTGCTTCAGCTGAGAAAACATCCTAGTGAATTTATCTGCACCTTTTCTATTGCAATTGCATTCTTCCTGTTGTGTGGCAACCAGAACTGTACACATTTCCCCAGCTGTGACCTAACATTATGTACTGCTTCATTATAACCTGCCCACTCTTGTATTCAATGCCTTGACTAACAAAGGCACGTATCCCATATGCCTTCCTAATCACCTCATCTACTTGTCCTGTTGCTTTCAAGGTTCTGTGGGCATGCTCATCAAGGTCCTCAGATCGTCTGTATTTCCTCAGGTCCTACCATTCAACATGTACTCCCTTGTCATTTTAGACCTTCCAAAATTCATTTCCTCGCACTTTTCAAGATTAAATTGCCACTGTTCTTTCTATCTGACCAGCGTGTCTAAATTGTCCTGTAGACTAAGACTTTCCTCCCCACTGTTAACCACACCAATTGCTGTGTCAATGTACACTGTAAAAATGGCTGATTACTACAATTGCCCACAGTATCCGTTATGTCCTTCATTTTGGGATCTGGGAACCTAGTTTGTTTCTGTTACCTGTAAATATAGCAGTCTGCATATAAATTAAGCAAGAGTAATTAAGAATGAGACGTTAAATCATGCAGGTAGACTCTTCACTGCTCACTAGCGATACTAAGATGGAATCTACTATGGCGGAGTAGGGCTCCTGAGCTGGGGCTCATCTGCTCTGACTGCTTTTCTTTTTTTTCCTCTTTTCTTGTTTTTTTTTCTCTTTTCCTTTACTTTCCTCTTGTTCTGAGCTCAGCTGGTGGCGGCGAGGGATCCCAGTGTGGCAGCAGTGAGTGATGCCAGCGCAGACTTGAGTGGGCCTTTACTTACTTCTCTGGGGTGAGCACAGGACCAGGCATCAGAACTGATGGCTGCTACATCAGTGGGGATGTTGTTAGAACAATAGGCCCAACAGCAAAAGATGGTGGCTGAGGATTGGTGATTGGTTCTTGGTTGGGTCCAGTGCTGATGGCGGTGAAGCTGTGGCAGAAGGGTGTCACGGCAGCATGAACGAGGTGGGCCCAGCAACAACAGATGCATCTCTGCCATTGGTGGGTCTGGTCCAGGCATTGGCGGAGGAGAATCAGCTCAGTGGCCAAAGATGGTGCCTATTGAGTGGCAACTTCAATGTTGATTGGGTCTGATGTAGGCAGTGGTGAGGCAGTTGAGGAGGGATGGTGGCACAGGCATCATTGATGATGAGCTGGCTCAGGACAGATGGACTCTGTTTAAGCTACATCTTTTTTTTTCTTATTCTTAAACTAAGCAAAAAGATGCTGAATCATGCTCACAGTAGAGAGCTTTTCACTGAATTTTACTGTTATTCCTACTGTAAAATACATATGATTAAAAAATTCATAATTTATTCAAAGTGAGATTCTCATCTCTGTTGAAAGCCTAATATACAAAATTGAACCTTTTTTCTTAAAATTGAGAATCTCATTTTCCACAAATTTTCCCAACTGTCTCTGCATTTCCCACGTCATTCAGAGCCTGGGAAAATGCAGACCACTGTTTCAATTTAAATGATCATCTCATCCCTTCTTGAATCTCTCAATCAAACCTGCCACCACACTTTCTGGCAGTGCATTCCAGACTCTAACTTCTTGCTGTGGGTAAAAGATTTTCTCAATAGCATTTGCTTCTAATTCAGAACACTTTGAATCTGTGCCCTCAACTTCTCAATGCTTTTATAAGCGGGCACTGTTTCTCTATAGCTACTTTATCCAGAAGTCTCTTGATTTTGAAAATGTCTATCAAATTTCCTTTTAGCCTTCGCCTCGCCAAGGAAAAACCACTTTCAACTTCTCTAATCTATCCCCATAACTGCAGTGTCTCATCCCTGGCACCATTCTCATAAGCAATCAAATGCCAGCAACACTCCAGTCTCCACAGAGCCACCAAGTGCTGTAGCTACTGCTGGGGCTACAATAGTCCCCAACACTGAGGAACTGAACAGCAATGGTTAGGATGTGTCATTGAGGCTAGACCAGAAGGCCTTGATGAGAAGATGAGGGTGGGGCAGACAGTGGAAGAAAGAAAACTAGTGGTAAGACCCGGAGGGGATCCTACAATGGATCCAGGGGGCCATTTAAAGAGGCATGCCAATGTCCACCACTGGCCCAAGCAGGGTCTTTCCTCATGCTGATAATAGCAGTAGAATGGAGCCCTCAAGAGGGCATTAATTGGCCACTTAAACAGCTCAATTGATCCATGGAAGAATAGACTTCCCACCCTTTACCCACAACTGGTAACATTTCAGCAGGGCCATGTAGAGCATCCATGCTTTTTTCCAGTCAGCACCTCACAACCAAGAGCCCTTATAATCCAGTCATATGAACTTAAATTAGAACAAAACCTAGAAACCAGAAGTGGGATGACACAACAGTGGAAGTGTGTAGCTGTTTCATTTACAGATTAAAACATTGCTAAGTCTGTACTGAATTCAGCATTTGTTCTGTTTTAACAAAAATGAATAGGACTCACATTTTTATTTCTTATCTCTTAGCTCAGGGAAGCCTGGGTTCCACATATTATTGTCTTACACGCAAGTATTTCTTGCAAGCCACCCATCATCAATATCATGTTTAATGATCAAAATAGCTGAAATTTTTCCTATGACTATTAAACTATAATGTTACAGTAGAATGACATATTGCTGTTATTTTAAGACTGTAGATGTCTTGTCCTTGCAGGGAAAAGACTTTGCGATGATACCATAACTTTAAGAGGTGTATTTTGTCCTGGTTTCTTTATGAAGAGAGATTGAGACAGAGATGACAAGCAGTCTGTCCAAGCCAATATAGTAAACAGCTTGTGAGGCATTGGGATTTTTATTTTACAGTTGGAACAACAGCATGAATGGGTGGAGTCAGGCTCCCACAGAACCAGGGTTTGAATTTAGCTTTCAGTGGTTGTTGGTATTTTGAAGCTGCCATACATTTATCCCTGTTACAGAAAAATGCTTGCGTTCTCTCTCTCTGCCAGAATTTTCTCTAGATGTTCTTTTCTCCTGGACTGGAGAAACATTGCAATGTATTTTCTGAATTTGCTTTGTCAAGGGTGTGTTTATGTGATTTACAATATTGGAACAGTTGCTGTTTGGTAGTTAAATAATTTATTATTCTGTTAAGTTTTCAAACAGAGTTAAAGTTAGACCAATTCTTCTTTCCTTTGTTTGTGTTTTAACTGTAGAGTAAGAATAAAGTGTGTTTTGCTTAAAGCTGAGTAGCGTAACCAATCAAACTACACCTGGAACAGAGCACCTTACGCTTGTCTTTAAATAAGAAAATGTTAGGGTCTAGGCTATCCCCTTGATATATTTGACGGGGATGTTTGGTCTGGTCCATAACAATTTTAATATAATTGCCATGCGGTGAGCATAATGTGCTTTAACAATGTTTTAAGTTTTGGTATAATTGATACTTTAAGTTAGTTGTTGGAAAACAACCAAGTGTTTTGGGGTTGACCAATGCTGACAACTTTGAATGTGGGTATTACGATATTAACTACATTTTAAAATACTCGGCCGATTTTAAAATAGTTTGGGACATTCTGAAGTCAGGCATTTCTTTCTTATTCACAAAATACATCAAACATTCAGTCTTTACTATGTACATTTGGAGGTTATTGTTTATCTGGATTTTATCTTGCAATCCATGGAACCTAAATGGGAAATACAAAATTTACATGCTGAAATCAGTTCATGTGAACCACTGCTGATAATCCCTTTGGTAATAATCTTTGTCTCCTGAACTGCTTCCTATTGTGCTGTTTAGAATTGTGGGAATTAATAACATTCTTCTTGGTTTTGCAGGGCTCATACCTGTTTCAACCGGTTAGATCTTCCCCCATATCCATCCTTTTCTATGCTTTATGAGAAGCTGTTGACTGCTGTGGAAGAGACAAGCACATTTGGTTTGGAGTAACAAGTTAAACAGAAATGTAAACCTGTTTTCTTCTACTGGATCTTCTGTTACGGACTTTCAGGAGATGGAGTTTGAGATGAGACCAGCATACTCGTGTTGGTGAATACGTTGTGGGATTTGAATTAGCAAAGAATTGTCCTTCACAGACTTAACAGGACTTACGATTGTTAGAATGAATGTAGAAGGTGAAGTAAGATTACTGAGTACAGACAATCATTGTGCATATTCTGCTGAATGATTGTGTGTTTGATAGAAGAAATGAAGGGAAGAAACTAAAACCTTGTGCACCTTATTGTCATCTTACACACAATATTTGGCTACTTCTGTCTACCATTAAAATATTAAATATGCTTTTGTGAAGAAGCCACCAAGACTTGCACAAAGATATGTCAATGCTACTTTGGAATGACTGTGAAAATATTATAATGGACAAATTTTTTTTTCAATAGAGTTTATCTCAAAGCTTTAAGAGTTGGGATTATGTCTTTTTTAAAAATTCAGTGGCATACCTGTATCTTCTAGAGTTCCAAGCTGAAAACAAATGTACTTGTTAATGAAGTAATTGTCTTTATATACCTGTTATTGCATGGTATACAATCACAATGTATGGAAATGTCTAGAATAACAGCTCCATTGTCATTATGGCACAGTAAAAATGTCAGCAGTTGTGGAATTCAATTTTATTTAATCTTTGTAATAGATTATTTACAAGTCCTATATAATCTTTAAACTATCCAAGCCTTGTTGGAGGGAGATACCTGTCAGTTCATTCTTTGTGCTTATACTAAATTTGTTTAGATTATCTGCTCCAGGACATCCAAAAGATTGATTTCTTTTATTTTTACAAATAATGTTTTCAGAAACAGGGAAAGTCTTTTTTTAAAAAATGCACTGAATGTACCAAAGTAAAAAGGGGTAAAATTGCACCATTCACAATATGTAGGTACGATGGTATACTCATATATAGAACAATGGAAACCATTTTTAGAGATCTTCTTATGTCTTCAGTAATAGGACTGAGTACAAAAATATGTATTAGGTTGTTTGTAAAAACAAAATACTTTCCCTTGAGCAAGATAGAATAAATAGATTTACAGCAATAGATCAGACGTATCTGCTCTATGCATACTTAAAACTTGGTTAATAGCATTTTCGTTAATAAGAAAATAGGATTCAATTTATTATAAAACAGAGTATTTTCACAGTACCTGAATGAAGACAGTTGGGAAGATTTTGTAACCAAGGTAATATAATTTTACATATTGAATAGTATGCAAGTAACAGTGATAAAGACATGAGGAGATATTGCCTTTGGATCTAAGTAAAAATGTAAAAATACTCTGCCACTTTTATTGTCTATATAAATTTTCAGTAAATTCTGTTGTTTTACTGCTAAGATTTGAAAATAGAACATACTCGGTCAAGAATGCTCAAATTAATTTAAAAATGAACTGAATGCACCTTCTCCAATTAATCTTCAACAACTCAATGTCAATCCTTAAGGATCACAATGGTCTGAAGAAAAATGGATTGTACTTTAAAATATTACAAATTTGTCTTATGTTTATATTTTTTGATCCACCTTGTGATGGCAAACCTGCCTAGGTCCATACCTAGACCTCCTGGCTACAAAGTTTGAACTTCTATATCTCTTATTACCCAACTTCAACTTAGCACATATTGATACAATGGATCGTGTAGACAGTGGTAATCAAACCAGTTCAATTTTTTGATTTGAATATTGCATCATCTTTTAAGTATTTCTTGTCAATATACAGAAATTATACTAACTTTTATTTCTTATCCACTGATGCACGAGCTGTCCAGTGACTTATTCATTATACAGGATGGGGTCAATGCTGTAGTATCCATACACATGATTGAATACTGTAAGACGTTGCATGGATGTTATACTTCTTTACACAGAAAGAGAACATTTAGCTCTAGTTATGACTTAAACATTGATATTTCTGGTACTCTTATCCTTTTTTATATGGTGTTTAAAAAAATTCTATATCATTTGACACAATTTCATATTATAAATAAAACATATATATAACACATGGCTAACAGGACACAAATCATTGAAATGTGCCATTGCCATATTTAGTGTTCTGATTAATTTCAAAGTTTCAAACTGTCTATTGGGATTATGCAGAATTTTGTACACAATTGCTATTAATTATGCTGAAAATACTTAAGATTATTGTTCTGTTTTTGTCAACTATGATTTAATGGAAAAAGATTTTAATGTACTAAAATTTGAATTATGTTGTTTTATTTTCATAACATATACATATTTTATTTAAAACCATGCTGCATCATTTAAAAATCATTAATTGCAAATAAAAATTCATAAAAACAGCTGTGAATAAGAAAGATAGATTTTGTTCATTACAAAACAGAATTTTTACATTAAAGTTCAACTTCTGACTGGCACTTTGTTCAGGTTGTAAACTGAATTATTCATTACTATGTTATGTCTGATTCAATAGAATTTATGGTTTTAGATATATTTGCCTGTTCTGATGATCTGATATACTAGAATTAAAAAGCGTATAAGTCAGTGCACCCACTTCACTACTATGTTTTCAAGAATCACTTAGAAACAATCGACAATGTTGACAGAGAAACTATAACTACTGTACATTACAAACAGAAAAGAGGTGAGAAGGATAGCTCCACTTTTTATTCCAAAGACAGCATATTCGAAAAAAGTATTTTAACTCAAGCAATTGTCAGGAAGAAACAAGTAACGATGTTACAACTTAGAAATGTAAAGTTTTTCGTAGATTTTAAAAGAAAGATAAATTTTTCCACTCAACACTTGAATGTACACAATTGCAGCTGTTGTCACACTCATACACATGTATATACACTTAATGGAAGATTACAAGATTGCAGGATTGTAATCCTTTATTATCCACTGAAGAAAAGCTCTGGATGTCTATGAGGATGTATTTAGTGTTTTTATGTTTGCAGTAGCAGATTTTCTTGTCACGCTTCCATCAAAGTATAATAGCAAAGCCCTGGTATGATTTCTCAGGTAGGGAATTCAAGGCTAACTTGGCTCGCTGCTTATATGTAGCTTAAAACTAGTGGTAGCAGGCAGGATGTTTTCGCTTTGTTGGCATAGATGTGTCTGTCAAATCCAAAAGAAGCCTTCTTAAAACCTCTTATCAGAAACCTGAAGTGGAATATTTCCCTCCTTGGAGATGGCAAGAAGGGAAATAATTTAGCATGTTGGACCTGGAAAGATACTCACCCTATATACTCACTATATCAATTAAGTTATGTACAAAAAGGTCCATTGGGGTCTTTCTCAGCTTGCCACCAATTAAGGCTCTTAAGTGGTCAACTAACAGCCACTTTGGGGCTCTCACTCACCACCTCTCCAATCATTCATCTTCAAGGTGGGCAAGGAAGAAACATAGTGGCTAATATACCAACTTACTTTCATATCTCTGGATTCCCAGGAGAGGGGCTTTACCAATGGTCTTTAGGACTCGGAAGCTACCGGACACTGGCCACTTCTGGTACCGGGGACACCAGTGTTGAAGCCTGTGACAGGTTGAGAATCTCACCAAAGCTCACCTGCCAGTTGATTGCACGTTGATACGCCATTCCAAAGAAGGGTCACTGGACCCAAAATATTAACTCTGCTTTCTCTCCACCGATGCTGCCAGACCTCCTGAGCTTTTCCAGCAATTTCTGTTTTTGTTTCTGATTTTCAGTATCTGCAGTTCTTTGGTTTTTTAGATTGGTTTTTCTCAGTGGAGGGAATAGCACGTTAGAGAACAACTAACCCTTCCACTCCCACACTTACAGCCATATTTTACCTTTTGGGAATATTTTATAATTGTAACCAGAGCATCTCTTCACATTGCCCTGAAATACTTTCTGATGGTTAGGTCATTGTTAAACAATTGAGTTTGTCTATCACTCATCCACATGCAATCTAGATGAAATGGAGTTTTTCACATTGACTTCCTAGATTTAAAGTTTGGAGTCAAAGAGTCTACAACACTATTGTGAATCCAGTTTCTTTTAATTACTTGTAGAAAAGTAGTCATAACCACAGGAAGGGTCATTTGCATGAAGAATTGGTTCAGGGTTCTTGCAGTTCCATGCATATATTCAGAAAAACAGAACCTTGCAACTTCATTTTATTTTACAGGAAAGTGTACATTTTGGACCCTAAGTTTATTTGTATGTTATACAAATACTGAATACCTCAGTCTATTAGTCTGATTTAGGGGTGGATCCCACAGTGAGATGCTTTCAATGGATACACTGGGACTTTCCCTTCTCAGCTCAAACTATTAAAATTTAAAAAACATTTCTCTTTCCTTCTTTCCCATTTTCCCCTACCTGGAATTCTAATTTCAATTTCCACTGTCATTCTTGCCTTTCTCTCTCTTTTCCTGGTACTGTCTACATTTTTCTTGTTATTGGACTTACACTTCCATTTCTGCTACTCCAATTCTAATTTATCTGTTTCACTGTCCTCAATTTCCACCTCTCAATCTCTAGGTGCATTGCTACACCTTTTAGTTCTTCTAAGGTCAGTGCCCATAACTTCTTGTAAGTTATCTCATCCTGTTCTATAAAAACACTAACATCAAATATACACATCTTAGCAGTTTAGTATTACAGATCCCCCACTCCCCTAAAAAAGAGCAGTTTTTAAATTTGAAGAGGCAATTTACTTTCCCCACTTCAATCATTTTCTCGCATCTGTTCAAGCTCCTCAGTTCTCCACAACAAATTTATTTTTAAATAATTTTAAAAATTTTAATTTATTTTTGCTCGAGGCTTCTCTCCAATTGAACATGTCAACTATTTTTGCTGTGAGCAATAACGATCAGCAAAATATTTTTGGATCACAAAAGAAGCAAATTTGCTAACTGTTAAACACAAGAAAAACTATTTTAAAAATAGGACACCAAGCATATGGACTTTGTGCAGTCACTTGGGCCCGTATATATACAGGTACAAAGTTAAAGGAAAGGTAGTGTTCAATAAAAAGTAAAATAAAACAGTAAAAAGTAAATACTGTGGATGCTGGAAATCTGAAATAAAAATAGAAATGACAGAGAAAGTCAGCAGCTCCAGGTGCATCTGAGAAGAGAGAGAGTGAGTTGTATCAGAGATAGTAGGAACTGCAGATGCTGGAAAATCTGAG